AAAGTGCTTACTTGTCCTCAAAAAGTCATAGTGTTTTTTAACTCCAGCAGCAGGGTATGACACTGCTCACTTCTCCAAACCTACGTTTATGATATTAAAACTACACATTTTCTAATTGTGTCTTAAAACATTTTATATTAAAACACCTTTGCCCAGGGACAGCAATGTGGCATAGGTGGTAAGGCCACTGCCTGTAGGGCCAGCATCCCACATGGGCACCAGTTCAAGTTTTGGTTGCCCCACTTTCAATCCAGCTCCCTACTAATGTGCCTAGGAAAGCAATAGAACATGACCCAAGTCTTTGGTCCCTGCATCCACATGGCAGACCCAGAAAAAGCTCCTGGCTGCTGGCTTTGGTCTACCCAGCTCCAATTATTGATGCCATTTGAGGAGTAAAGCAGTGGTTAGGTGCTCCCTTTGTCTCTCCCTCTGTAACTCTGCCTTTCAAATAAATAAATAAACATATCTTTAAAAAAGAACATCTTGGTCTAGTGGTAAAGAAAAATTGCTTGAAATGTGTGTCAAATACACACTAACTATTTGTACTTATTGCTGCAAATGGTGTCTTCAGATGTGGAAACTGAAGTTCAGAGAGATTGCATGACATGCTAAAAAACACGCAACGTGTATGTTGTAACAGAAATGAAACTTTATCTTTTTAATTCTAAAACAAAATGGGATTGCTCTTCGCTTTGTCAGAACAAGCAATAAAGGCTGTGGTGCAAAATTCTGTTGAAGCTAAGAATTCAAGGACATCCAATAAACAGGTGTCTTCTGGCCAAGTCATATCTATAATTGGCTCCTTGGATAATGAATGAATTACTGGTGTCTTTTTTTTTTTTTTTTATCAATTCAAGGGATTCAGATCAAGACTGGGAGGTAGAAAAGAGATCATTGGAACAAGTGGAAGTGCCTAAGACATCCTTCTTGCTCCCGTGGGAAGGATGCTGTACCGCTGAGATGCTGCAGGACACTGTGGTCCCCATGACCTCTTCCCTTACCCCAGCATGAGGACAAAGCAACCAACCACATCTGCTTCATTGCAGGAGAATACAACTGGCTAGCTATTGGGAGAAACATTTACTGATGCTTTACTCTTCACTTTTGAACACCATTTCCACTTTTCTCCCCAGGAACACATCAGGCCAGGTTGTCATCTGTTGGTTTAACCTTGTTTGGCAAAGTCAAAGTCCTCTTTCTCCAGTAACTCACAAGAGAATGCATGAGACAACAGAAAAAGAAAAGAAAGGAAGGAAGAGAAGAGAAGGGAAGGGAAGGGAAGGGAAGGGAAGGGAAGGGAAGGGAAGGGAAGGGAAGGGAAGGGAAGGGAAGGGAAGGGAAGGGAAGGGAAGGAAGGAAAGAAGGAAGAGGCAGAGTTACTTAACGTCAGAAGAAGCAGATACTAGGAAAAATGAGGGGGAAGCTAGCGGAAGGAGGCAACACAATGTAATCTATAAAATGCTAGCCAAAAGTTTATTTGGATGAAAGAATCTGAAAGACTTAAGGCCAAGAGGCACTAGTCAAGATTTAGTGGAGAGGGTTTAGTGGTGGGAGGGTGGATATTCTCATGGATTTTTCCTCCTGAGCTTTCAGATCTTACTCCAGGAAACAGAACTTTCTCTTTGATCTAACTGGTCAAGTTTCCCTTTGGTGGAACTTAGAAAGGAAATGCCTTTTTTTAAACTTGTCCAATCTGAGATCCTTTGTACCCATGACTACAGCAGGCCAAGAAAATGAATACAAACAGAACAAGAAAACGCTGGAATTCGTCAATTCAATTGTCCCCCGAATCCAGCTTCATACCCCACTGTTACCTTACACAGAGAATCCCATAGAACTAGGTAGCAGCCACAGCATTTGGGAGTTCATGCAGTCACAGAGTCAGTGTTTACTTGAACGTAGACCCTTAGGAAGCCACGAGGTCTCCTGCATGTACAATGACAGACTTTGAAAAACCTTTATGAAGCAGAACACTCCTGGAACTAATGTGTATTTGTTCCTCACATTGAGAGGGCTCAATTGGTTAATCCTCCTCCTGTAAGCACCGGCATCTTATAATATAGGTGCTGGTTGATGTTCCAGCTCCTCCACTTCCCATCCAGCTCCCTGTTTATGGCCTGGAAAAGTAGCAGAAGATGGCCCAAGGACTTGGGACCCTGCACCTGCATAGGAGACACAGAAGAGGCTCCTGGCTGCTGGCTATGAATCGTTTGTTGTGGTCATTGGTGCGACAGCATAATGGCTAACGTAAAGCCCTCACCTTGAATGTGCCGGGATCCCATATGGGCACCAGTTCTAATCCCAGAGGCCCTACTTCCCATCCAGCTCCCTGTTTGTGGCCTGGGAAAGCAGATGAGGACAGTCCAAGTCTTTGGGACCCTGTACCTGTGTGGGAGACCCGGAAGGGGCTCTTGGCTCCTGGCTTTGGATTGGGTCAGCTCCAGCCTTTGCTGCTGCTTGGGGAGTGAATCACCCGACAGAAGCTCTTCCTCTCCATCTGTCCTCTTCTCTGTATATCTACCTTTCCATTAAAAATAAATAAATCTTTAAAAAAATGTTTGTTCTACTTGGCCACAAACATAAGTGATAATACTGTGTATCAAACACTGTTCCATACTCGGTCACATTCAATTGTTATCATTCTACCCCCAGGAGATAAAGATGATCAAAGGTCCTACTTTACAGATGGGGGGAAAAAAAAAACTGAGACATAAAACATAAGCAGTTTGGCCCCGGTCACCCAGTTGGTGACCTGTAGTACTGGGATTTAAATTTAAATAAATTAGGTTTTAATCCCAGAACCCAGACTTAATCAGCTCACCACAACTAAGAAAGTTGTGATGTACACCAAGTTCTGAGGTTCTCCCAGTTTTCTCTCCCTGTAGGACCTGTGCTGTCTTTCACCAGGAACTTGAATGAGCCAGAAACTTCCTCTGGGTCTCCCACATGAGTGCAGGGCCTCAAGGCTTTGGGCCATCCTCTAGTGCAATCCCAGGCCACAAGCAGAGAGCTGGCTGGGAAGTGGAGAAGCTGAAATACAAACTGGCACCCATATGGGATCCCTGCACATGCAAGGCAAGAATTTAGCCACTAGGTTATGGCACTGGGCCCTCTAGTGTTTTTCTAAGCATGAGGTTTTGTAAGTTAAAGTACACATAATGAAATGATACATATCCTTTCAACCCTTCTGTTTTCTTTTTATGTAACATGTGCTATTTTACATTGCTAAAAACGTAATAGATTTATTTTATGCAGGCTGTATTATGTATTCTGCACAGTATATTTACTGTTCTCATTTTGGACCCCTGAGTTTTTCCAAGTTTTTCCCTGTGGGATGAATTTGGGTTCTTAAGTAATTTCACCTCTCATGATAGTTAAAAAAAAAAAAAAAAAAGCTTTATTTACTTTTATTGGAAAGGCGGATTTTTCAGAAAGATCTTCTGTCTGCTGGTTTACTCCCTAAATCGTCGCAGTGGTCAGAGCTGAACTTCTTTGTAGTCAGGGTCCTCTTCTGGGCCTCCCACGCCAGTCAATGCAGGATCTCGAGGCTTTAGGCCATCCTCTCTTGCTTTTCCAGGACACAGGGAACTGGATGGGAAGTGGAGCAGCCAGGACTCGAACCAGCTATATGGGGTGCTAGCACTTTGCAGATGGAGGATTAGCCAATTGAGCCATCGCGCCAGCCACCCCACTCACACTCCCTTCTCCGAGTTTACCTTCTGGAAAGGAGCTGATTAAACCCCATCGTACTAATGTGCGCAGGACTGGTTTTAAGAGCTGCATTTTATGACCTTTTAGGCTGTGTACAACTAAAGGAATGCAGTTTTAATTGTGAGGGGCTTTTTGTTTGCTTGCTTTTGATACATCAGAAAAGCGCGTGGAAGGAAGGCCTTCCTCATTGCTAACAAGCCTATAGGTGTTACAACAGCAATATGTCACTGGTTCATAGAACAGGGCAAAGTCACGGGGAGCCCTCTTGGGGCTTCGAAAGCAGTGAGATGGCAAAGGAGGGTGAGGGGAAAAAAAACTGGGCAGAAGAACAGAAGCGACTCATAAAATTCATGTAGCCTTGAGTTCATGAGCAAGTGTCTCCAGGGGCGCAAATCCTTTCCATCCCCTGCAGGGGGCTCTGCAAAGGCCTGAGTCTCCAGACAAATCTGGTGGGAGCCTTCCCTCCTGCGACGCAGACAGTTCCCAAGCCCTGCTTGCAGTTAAAAGACCCCGCGGGGATGCCCTTCAAGCCCTGCTGTACCTCCCCAGCCCCATAACCCTCCCCACACCACGCACACCTCTTTGCCGCAAGCTCACAGGTTCACGGCGAATCCCCGCCTGCGGGGAGTGCCGGAAGAGCCCCCAAAGCTGAGCGGTGTTTCCCCACCCCGCAACTCTAAGGGGTGCCACGTTCTTCCGCAACGGCCCTGGGAGCGCCAGCCGCAGAGGAAGGCGGGCACGGTCAAGTCTAAATCAAAGGTGCCTGGTGGCTGCGTCCCCTTTTGGATCAGAGACAGAAAGGGCGGGAGTAATCCGGGGCGGGGCGGGCTGATTCCAGATGAAGGCTGCGGGGCAGGACTCCTGGCTCTCCGATAAGCGGCCCCCCAGCAGCTCCAGGACACCCTCCCACACCTGCTCCGCCTGGACCCCGGGCGCACGGTGCGCGCACCCACCCACCTCCCTGGGCCGCCCGCTCCTCCCTCCTTCCTCGCTGGTTGGCCCAGGCGCCGCAGAGCGCGACGGCGGCAGGAGGAGCTGGGCGCGCCCGCCACGCAAAACCACCACCGGGCTGGCAGGCGACAGAAGCTCAGCGCGGGGAGCCCCGGCTAGCAGTGACAGCGGCAGGGCCAGCGCGCTCTCTCTCCCGGGCGCACCGGCGTCTCGTTTCCTCCGCGCCTCAGCTCGACAATCATCTCCCGGTATCCCTGTCTCCAGGAGCGCACGGCCCGGCCCAGCTCCGAGCACAATAGCGGCGATCCTAGGGGCCGCTCGGAATCCGGACGACTACCATGGGGAAGCCGGCGAAGAAAGGATGCGACCCCAAGCGCTTCCTGAAGAATAACTGGCTGCTGCTGTCCACCGTGGTCGCGGTGGTACTAGGTGAGCATGGACGCTGGCGCGGCGGGTGGGCGAGGCGGCGCAGCCTCACGCGCGCTCTGCGCCCAGGCCGCGTGCGGGGAGTGCGGGTGCTAGGGTGTGCATGGCGCTGGCGTACCCGGTGCCTGGCTTCCTGAGCGCCTCCACGGCCTTGGCCTCGGATGCCACGCGCGGGATCTCCCCTGAATGCCGTGCGTTTCTGCAGGCGAAGAACAATGCTCCTTGGGGATTCCATCTGGATTCCCCAGCAAGGAACCGCCTGCCGGTTCTTGCCTTGGTCGAAATGGCCAGAGGGTGGCTTGAAAGGTGGAAAGGATTTTTTTTCTTTTTGGTTCATCCTGAGACCCACCCCTATCCCGCATCTCTCCCCCACCTTCTCCCCTCTTTTGAACCGCACTACGCTGACGGAGACGGATGTGAATGACACCTGCTGGACAGACTGGAGGAGCCAGCCACCTGGGCTTCTGGGGTGGCTGGGCGGGAGCCTGGGGGAAGCCGGCTGAGGACGCCGCCTCCTCTCACCTTTAGTACGGGGAGCTCAGCGAGTGGTGACTGCCCGCAGCTAAGCTCGGAAACGCTGACAGCTTCGTGCCTGAATTCCAGAGCGTGCAATTGTGGCCCACCGGAGGTCGGTCACAGGGGGACACTTCTTCCTGAGCCGCCTTCCGTAATACATCTACCAGCCTTCTTGTCTGGTTTCTCAGCAAAGGTGTATTTAAATGACTGGAGTGGCGGGGCGCTTGGAGTTATTCGTATTTAGCTTTGGGATTGCCACCGACGTTGATACTTTACGCATATCTAGCTCTGGGAGGCAATTGTTTAGGGTTAGAGCCGCTCCTTGGCCTCCTTTGCCCAAGGGCCAGCAACCCGGGGAAACCCAGCAGGTGAGAATTACCGCAGAATGTGTGAATTACTTGACAGGCTTCACCTGCTTGGAAACTGAAGTTGGGCTAGCTAGAAAGGGAAAGTTGTTCCCACCCCAGTCTCTTGCACTTCTTCCTAGTAGCTTGGTATATTTTGTCTACATCCCCTCCTAGTACCCCGACCTTAAAAAAAAAAAAATCTTTGAAAGCTAATGAATGGAGTCCCGGGGTCAGATGGGCGCCTCTAGAACTTTGTGCAAGGGAAAGTCTGGTTCCTAGTAAATAAATAACATCCTGGTATTACTTTAGCTGAGAATATTTGCAGCAGGAAAGGAGAAGCAAGTGTTGGCTTTTTCCCACGAGGTGCCAAGTGGCTTTGGGCTACTTTTAGTGAAAGCTTATACTGTCTCCTGCCGCCCCCCCCCCCAACACATTTAACATGGCCCACTCCAGCAAGAGTGACTGGCCTTCCTTCGAGCCACAGGGAAGAAATTATACTTTTAATCATGGGCATCCAGGATTCACTTTTTAAATTCCCTTTAGATGGAATGACCTGAGCCTGGTGTATTTTTATTGCCCTGTGGCAGCAGAGTGGTTCTGCCTTGGGGCTGAGTGGGGAGCTTGGCAGAGATCTCCACCTAGGCCATGTTGTGCACCACTAGTCAGCAACCCAGTCACTGGAGAGTTGGAAGGCGTCTGGAGCAGTTGTTTCACGGCCTTTGGAACCATTTGCGTAAATGCATCTTCAGCGAGTGGAGAGGGCTTTCCTGCCCATTTTACAGATGGGACCTTGATCCCAGGTAGATGATTTCCTCCAGTTTTATGCATTTCGTGGAGCCCCACGGGTGTGTTTTGGGTTATTTACTCCAAAAAAAAAAAGGGAAGGAAAAAAAAATTCACCATGGAAAAGCCTAAGCCAGGTTGGTCATTGGCTCCTCCAGATGGGCTTTATGTTTCCATTTCTGGCTGAGAAGTTCCAAGACTAGACCAGAGTGTTGATCAGAAAGCATTTCCCATGTCCCCCTGCACCTCTTTCCTTCTCTCTTCAGATCCCCCTGGTCTTGGGGTAGGGGTGGGAAGAGAACATTATGCTCCTTTGTAGCTTGCGCCGGTTCCCTAGTTTAGCAAGCAGAGATATTTCTGCCACTCCAACTGTGGCAGGGAGTTTGAGCAAGGGTTTATTTCGTAACAGCCTGAATGGGTCCAGAAAAATCTGGAGCACTCTCTCTCGTGTCTCGACATTTCAGAGTGTGGACCTTCGAGAGAAACTAATTGTTCAACGTATGAACTACCCTGCTCCCCCTGCAGCAATGTGGCATTCTGATCGTAGCTACTGTGAAATGCTTGTTCCCCGCTGGAAGGCTGCAGACCTGACATGTACAAATCTTGCTGAAAGGAGAGGCAGTGCTTTTCATAAAAGAGGCAGCTGGAGGCTTCTGAGTTCTGAGGCCTGTGAGAGGTCATCTTTTTCAGCCGTGGAAGTTGGTTCTTTGGGTGGAATTGTTGCTTCCCTTCTGTGTTGCCCTTCTATATTTTGTGTATAATACCTTCAGAATAGTCAGCTGAGAGGCCTCTTCCGGGAATACGACTGTGGACACCTTCATTGCTTACACTACCGTTTTTACAGTTTTCCCTGATGTTGTAGGGCAGTAGGACTGAGCACAGCCTGGAGTCAGGAGTCCTGGGTTGAATTCTGGTGCTGCAGGAGTTCTCCCGTTTAAATGCATGGCTTGTTTTCTGGGATCCTTGCCTGGAAAAGGGGGTGTTAGTCATTGTCTCATTTGTTAGTAGGGTTGACTATGATAATGTCAAAACGCCCACTTATGCGTAACATGCTGTGTCTAAACCAGTGCCAGCCGTCATTGCATTTATTTATTAGGAAAGAGAGGGATGGAAAAGAGCTATAATCATTGTGGTTTGAGGACTCACAACCTAATTCCCAATGGTTTGAATAGGTGGAAATTTGAAGGCAAAGTGTTTCTGTGCTCTGCCTTAGTGCAGTCTCTGTGTGTGAAAGATCTGTCCAGTGTTCTGATTCAAGGCACCCAGCCATTGGCTTGAATGGAGTGGTGGTGGAGTAGTGTGGGTTAAGGCCCTCGTGGAATCCTCCAAGCTTATCATGTAAACCTGAGTTTTCTCTCCAGACTGGTTCTTCCAATTGTGTGGGAAATCTGTGATCTCACGATGAGGGGGTTCTCATTACAGAAAGGCCATGGCTCTTTATACCATGGAGCTAACCAGCCGATTCCAGTGACTTCCTTTCCTTGGAGCAATAAGGAAGCCATCATTTGGCAGAATCTAAATCTCTTGTCTGATGCCTGAAACATCTCCTTTCCATTTTTTTCCCCTCTAAGATTTATTTTATTATTTGAAAGGCAGGGTCACGGAGAAAAAGAAAGATAGAGAAATCTCCCATTTGCTGGTTTACTCTCCAAATGGCCGCAATAGCTGGAGGTGAGCTGATCTGAAGCCAGGAGACAGGAGATTCTTTTCGGTCTCCAATGTGCATGCACGGGACTTAAGCCATCCTCGGCTGATTTCCTAGACTACAAGCAGTTGTGTGGCAAGTGGAGCATCTGAGACATGAACTGGCACCCATACAAAATGCCAGCACTTGCAGGTAAAAGGTTAGTCAGTTGAGCCATCACACAGCCCCCTGTTCTGTTTCTTTTTACCTAAGTCTGTGTAGACCCCGAGGACAGGTGCCAGCCTGCCCCATCACCTGCACGGACCTTGACTCAACGGTGCTTAGAAATATATCTAGAGCATCCAACACCCATGTCATTCACTCATTCAGCACCTACCAGGGCTCTTCAACAAGCTCACAAAGTGAGTAAAAGCCAGCAACTGTGGGGGAAAGATGTGTAAACCCCGCGGAGAGAGGGACAAGCCGTGATCCTCCAGGCCTTGCTTTGAAGACCCTGTTGTGAAGGAATTGGGAGAAAATAGTAAAAAGAACCAGAGAGGTGATTTTCGTGTTCTGCCCTGTTTCAGGAACCTTGAGTCTGATTGCAACTGAAGAGAAGCGATTATGGAAATAAGACCATGAGAGCAGAAGGGAGCATAATAGGGGGTAGAAAGAGCCCTGGGGTAGAGGAGAGGCGTACCCAAGAGGTGGGACACTTCTGAGGCTCTGGACAAGGGTGGACTGCCCAGCTGAGATAGGAGGGGAGGGGCTGAGGACTCACCTCTGGCCACCTTTAGCTGCCTTCTGCATTCCTGTGTTCCCTCTGCTTCGTGCCCCACTCCCTGCCCCAGACCTCAAAGCTTGTCACTGCTGTAACTACTTACACAGCCTGGCTCGCTGCTAGGACCAGGACAGCAGGTGTTTATCCTCACCCAGTTCTGGAAGTCGTGAGACCAGCAGGGCCTGTCTGGGGGAACCTGGAGTAGCTGCCTTAATATTCCTGGAATTGGGATGGGTGGGGCTAATCCCTCTAATCTTTGCTCTGCTTGCAGCTCTGTTTCTGTGTGTGTGTGTGTGTGTGTGTGTGTGTGTGTGTGTGTGTGTGTGTGTGCGCGCGCGCATACACATGATCTCCTCTAACATTTTTTAAGCCATTACTATTGTTTGAGAGAGAGAGAGAAAGCTGTCGTCCACTGGTTTGCTCCCTAAGTGCCTGCAGCAGGCAGGGCTGCTGGGCTGGAGCCAATGTCAAGAGCACTGCCCAGGTCTGCCTCATGGGTAACAGGAACTCTATTTTTGAGCCATCGTTGCTGCCTTCCAGAACCAGGATGAGTAAGGAGCTGCCTGCAGTCAGGAGTCAGACGTGGGTATCTTAAGCACGAGACTAAATGCCAGCCCTATCTTTCAGGAAACACATTCTGAGTCCAGCTAGCTGATGATTAACTACAGCCTGTCTTGCTGTATGAGATGATATTCACTCTTTGGTCATACGGGGTAATGCCCACAGGCTGCAGAGGTTGGGCACATGGACACACCTGTGTGGAGGCCCCAGTCAACCCTCTTTGAGATCTTAAGAGTGAAGAGCTTTGACTGATTTCCCAGGCCATGCAGGGAGCTGGATGGGAAGTGGGTCCACCAGGACATGAACCAGTGCCCATATGGGTTCCGCTGTATGTGCAAGGCGAGGACTTGAGTCGCTAGGCTATGGTGCCAGGGCCAAAGCAGTGGATTTT